CTTCAAACACCTATCTAGCCAGAAGAATAATGCCAAAGGCTTCAGCTGGGTGGACAGCTCAGGGACCTTTCCTAACAGGGAAGAGGGCAGGAAAGAAGGAAATTGATTCATAGAGGAGAGACCCAAGATACAGATACCTCAATGGGGTCCTCCAGGTCCTGAATGAAGGGTGCTGTATCTTCAGGAAGGACAGGGTGCTGAACATGGGTGAGCAGAGGTGCTGTTGCAGACACCCTTGAGCAACTATGGGAGAAACAGCAACATGCAGACCAGGCATACAAAAAGCCGTCTCATTCTGACCTCTATTTAAGGCCTCTAGCCTCCTTCACATGCTGGGTGTGAGCAGCTAAATTACAAGGGAGATTGACTGCAGGGAGAAGGCAGCAACCCAAGTCTGCCATGTTTGGATAGACCTGACAAAAGGAGCCACTCACCCAGAGGTGATTACTGTAGATCCTCAGAGAGTTGCTCACACAGTCTCCGCCTTTGCCAATCTTTTGTGCCACAGAGAACAACAGGGTTATGGAGTTGGAACCTTCCCTCTTCTCTGCTGCTGTCATAGATACAATTAAGGCAATCAGTCCAGGGAAGAGGTACAAGGAAGGAGTCCTCCAAAACAGCCTCAGAGGCTGCAAGATAGAGGGCATGCCAAATTACTTGGGGACTTAGCTCTTATGATGCTGGGTGCTAGTCAAAGAACCTGTACAGACAGACAAGAGTCTAAGCTGAGATCTTGCACTGGGACTCTCCAGTATCCTAGCAACAGTAAGATCACTTAGTTTTAATAACCAGTTTTTCAACGACAGACCACAAAGGAGGCCAGTATCAAGGGGAGGATCCATCTCAGGGGCACTACATCCACAGATTTCAGCTCAGAGGCACTAACTGTCTAGGCACTGTGAACTGAGAGCAGAATGGAACTGGAGTTGAAACAGCCTCTACACCACTAGTAACCCACAGCATTCAAAAGTCAAAGGTGTATTGGCATAACTGAGTACGGGGCATTGAACCAGATCAGAAAGTGCATGAGGCGAGGACAGACTGCATTAACAGATCTGTGTGAAGAGGGATAGCCCTGAGATAGCTGGAGGTGCTGCCAGCAATGATTGACAGGGTGGGAAAGGGTTTTGCACCCAGCACAGAAGCAGCAGGATAGATAAGAAATTACTTTCTTACCTGCCCATTGACAGTTAGCATAAGCTTGACCAGGTTACCTCTGTCCAACTCTTTCAATGAAGTCATCAGGATATCCACTCTCCAGTCACCTTCCCACATGAGACACCTGCACACAGGACCATGGACTCTCAGTACACAACAGACAAAGCATCAGACTAGATGCTAATGCTTCAAAAACTGCAATGCATCCAAATCTTACAGCAGCCAGCCTGGGAGGAACCCAGCTTCACCTTCTCTTCCTTCCAGAAACCCTGGCTTCAAAGATGTGGGGGAGAGGAGGGCATTCTTAAGTAGAAGCACAGTCTCCCAAAAAAGGCATATTAAATAAAATACATTTTTAGAGCAATAAGGAATACTGCATGGATTGAGTGAAAAAAAATCATATGAAGGGGGATAAACTGGGGAGTCCTCCCTAGTTCCTTTGGTCCAACAACAAGCTTTTCTGTATTCTCCCCAATTTACATGAAGTTACACAAGACAGTTGGACAAAGTCATAGAGGAGTGCTGTTCTGTAGGAGTTCTCCATAAGGAACCACATACCTTTGTCTACCCAGGTCTTCAAAATCTCTGAGGATGAAGATGCCACCACCTCTCTGGGTGGCCTGTTCCAATGCTTTCTTACCACCCTGGTGAGAGTGTGTTTCCTGATATCTAACCTAAGCAGCCTTTGCTGCAACTTGAGCCCATTGCTCCTTCTCCTGTTACCTGCCACTATAGGGAAGTCTCGATCCATCCTCTTTCAGACTGAATAAGCCCAGTTCCCTCAGCCCACCTGCATACTCCCCAGCTCTCCAGCCCTGCTGGCCACCCTCTGCTGAGTTCTCACCAGTCTGCCCACACCCCTCCTGTGTCCAGAGGTAGGAGGGAGCCCCAAACAGGACCCTACCACCCATTACCTGGCAAGAGGCAGGCTGTGGTCCTGATAAGGCACTCCCTCCCCACTCCAGCAGCCTTGGGCACAGGAGCTGCCCAGGGGTTTTCCCACCCTGCAGCCACGGGTGCTTCCCCAGCACAGGCTGCCTGCCTGCCTGCCAGCCCCACCTACCAAGCAGCCTCAGCAGCTGGTGCGGGGACCAGAGTGCATAGGTGAGGCTGGTGCTTGGCACTGCACAGGCAGGTGTGTCCTGCTGCCTTCACCCCCTTGCCACTGTGCCCCAGCTCCAGCCTAGGCCGGAGAGCAGGATGGCCATGGGCATCTGGGTCAGAGAGCAGCATGGCCATGGGCAACCCCAGCAGTGCCCCTCAGGCGTGGACACAGCAGGCAGGCAGGCTCTCCCAGCCATCTTATGGCCCACCTGAGCCGGCCCTGCCACTGGGGAGGGAAGGCATGGCTGGGGCGGGATACATGGCCACAGGCACAGTGAGGGGAGCAGCAAAGGCGAGAACTGTGCCCTGCACCAGGGGCAAAAGGCCAAGTCGGTGCCTGACCAGCCCAGCCACAGGCAGGACTTGTGCTATGCGGGGGAAGCAATGTCCCCCACAAGACCTACTTGTGTAATATGCCCTCCTGTTACTGCAAAAGGTGAGTGGAAAGTTGCTACATTTTGTGACTTCATCTGGAGGGTAAGTTTTTCAGGAACTCAAGCAGGATTGTATCTGCTAACTGGAATAGGAACTGGCCAAGAGTGGTTGGGAAAGTGTTTTTACTATAGTCCTACTTTAAGAGCCATAAAGCTCAGCAAATGCATTTCACTGCCACTGTTCAGAAACTGCCTCCAGGCCACGTAATTTTTTCTGTCATTGGAAATGATTGGTCTGAACAGCAACAGAATTGTTAAGGTATAAACTGTCAGATAGTGAGTGCTCAGTAACTGAGACAGGTTGAGCAGTACATGGCATAATTTCTATTCCTTGATTAAAGAAGTTTAGCTCTTAATATCAGGTTATTAATATAAAAAGCCTTTAAATTGACCATTTTTCTGAATGTTCCTATTCCAGAGTTCACGCATAAAACTACTCAGAGCCAACTGAAAGGCAATAAAACGAGGTGAATGAACATATGGATGGAAGTCTCTTTTAGCACTTGCCTACCTTGTCTAACAGTAGCCAGAGATGCAGAGAATGAAGGACAGGCAAGACTGCACAGGCAGTCCTTAAGTCTGGTTTGTTTGTTTTTTGTCCTGTTTGAAAACAGGCTGCTCTTCAAGGATGTTTAAATGCAGCCCTCAGATTGCCCCAGGTTAACTCCTGAACAGGCCTTTGCCCATGGAGGCCAAGAAGGAAACCATAGTCTCTGGGAAACTCAGCCAGTCTATTAATGGGGAGTAGCCCCAAATCTACATTTGGGACAACTAAGTACTTGCCATTGGTTCTCTTTCCCACTAGGGATTCCAGTAGACTAGACTGGAAAGTTAGCTGTCTCTGAGTGTTAACCCATGTCACCTTCGAGCAAGGGATTTTCTTCTGAAGAATCCTTGTATTTTGCCCTGTGGCCCCTACAAATATTCTTTGCTATTGATAGAATTACATTAATTTAAAGAGTAAGAAAATCCCCAAGAATCATTTTAAGCACACCATGTAGACAGAAAAATGGTTTGGACTAAACTGTAGCAAGTTTACCCTCCAACTGTGTCACGCTTACCAGATATTTTGATTTCCCAATGCATCTTGGTTTTTCCACCAGGAACTGACATCACAAAGAGCTTCATTTGCAATTCCACAATATTGCAACTGTTTTAGTTTAGGAACCCAATAGTTTTAGAAAGTCCCTTGTCAGGCCGTCGGGGAAAGTAGAAGGAGTCATGTTGGCATGTATGTGTTTTAAGTACTTGCATATTAAATGGGAACAACCAAACTTAAGCACAAGTGGCTCTGAACCATGTGACATCACCCCCTTCCAAGCTGAGGAAACTCCTGCCTGTGGTCTGTACCTGGTTGGCTGTAAGCAGAGTTAATATCAAAAGGAGGTAAATAAAAAGCTACACAACCTCTTAAAGCAGGGGTAGGCAACCTCCGGCATGGATGCCAGAGTGTGGCATGCAAAGGCATTTTGTTTGGGCACACCCCTCAGGGTAAATGGTGGGGAAGGGGCCAGGGCTGCACTGCCACAACAAGGATCAGCCCCTCTGCAGCTCCCCCAGCATCTGCCCCTGGCACACCAGTATCTTACAAGTCAGGGTTGCAGGCGATTTTGGCACACTGCCCAAAAGCGTTGCCAACCCCTGCCCCTGCCTTAAAGCACAAGTGTCAAAGATCTGGACCACAGAATGTTTCAATCCAGCTTGCTAGGCTTCTCACAGGTTACTGAAAGTTGGGAGCTAGGGCCATGGAGGGACAGGCCTGCCATAGAATGTAGGCTCCTGGGCCCTGCTAGACATGGCCAGCAGCAACAGGAGGGCATGCAAAGGCTGTGCTGACACAGCTCCATTTGCTCTGCTGCCCAGGACCCCTGCCACCACTTGACCCCACCGCTCTAAATCCCTGCTGGACCTGCCACAGCTACTAACCCTAGAGATCCAGCCTGGGAGGAGCCCCACAGTCCAGATCCAGCATCAGGTGAGTCCAGCACCTCTGCCTTAAAGAAACATTTTAAAAAAGTGCATAGTTCTGTCTAAGCAGCAACTGACCAATCAATGTCAATGTCAGAGAAACTCCAGCATTAGGAACTGCATAGTAGTACACTTCTATGGGCCAAGATAAGTAAGCTGAGCCTGTGCTCATCCATGAGCATCTAATAAGCCCAGCAGAGCTTTAAAGGCAACTGTGGCTAATCCCATTCTGCGCTGTAGTTGAAAACAAGTTCAGCTGAATTGGTTTTATTATTGGGTCACCATAAATGCAATTCTTAGCCTAGAACCACCCAATAAGAGACAAAAAACCTTGACTGAATAGCAAAAAGTTTATTTGAAGAGTCTGGACCTTAAATAATACACAATATCACAAAACAGCCACACTGTGCCAAATAGAAAAAGACAAACTAAGCCTAAGAGAAACAGCAAGCACACTATAAATAGTTTTCATTTGCACCAGACAGCTAAACATTCAGTGCCATATTTTGGTAAAATATCCTCTATATTTAAAAATAATCTCATGGGAAAACATAAAAAGCAGCATTTTGGTGCAGAGAGCTCAACTCTGAAGTAACAAGACATTAAAAATATTCACATCACACAGACCAGGATTGATGAGAGCCACCACAGATTACAGGAAAATAAGTCTTAAAATATATGTGCCCAGCTACAAGACATTATCTAATGAAAGGCTGCACAAAGGGTATGTTGCTGTGAAGTGGGAGCCTGGGCTCTCCACCCTGCAGACTGTTGTTGGTCAAAGTTGCTAGGAGACTGCTTTGTAGCTTGGGAAAGCTTCCTCAGCTCCAGGCTTAGTGGTCAGTATCTGGCACCACACTCCTTGTCCAGGGACCAAACTTCCTCATTCCAGATGGGCACAAACCAGATAGAATTTGTGATTCTTGTTCCAAACATTTCACTTCTTGCCTGCGAACAAGTGCACAGTCCTTAAGCCAATACTTCTGGGAGAATAGCAGGTAAGTCCCAGAAAGTAACATGGGAAGTGCCAAATATCAGACACTCAGTCCACCTAGACCAGTATTCCATCTTCAATGGCCAGCAGCTGACTATTCTAACCTTCTTCTACAGTAACTCTGTAGTGAGCAAGTGTGAGATAGTTTGTCCCTCAGGGAAATTTCTTCCCCACACCTTATAGCAGTGGTGCTCAATTTATGGCCCATGGGTCAGATCCAACCTGAGGAGCTGTATCACCCAGCCAGGTGGGGCTCTCCACAGGTCCAGAAACATGATGACAGGGAAGTGGTGGTAACATTAATCACTCCCAGGGATGTAGGAATGAATGCTGCCACCACTCCCCCCAACAACAAATTTCCCAAGCCATGGAGAACTACACAGTCCAGATAACAGGGCCCCATGCACCAGACTACGCCAGTGCTTGGGGCCAGCCCTGCACATGGGATCCACCATATGGGACCAGGCCAGATCATACCTGCTTTGCAGTAGATTGGTTTGAGCCTTGATGCAGGGAATGTCTAAAACTATTAGTTAAAAATGTCTAGGGCAGCACTAAGTACTGTTACCCATATGTATCTTGCTAAATTACTGGCCTCATAGAGCAATGAGTTACATAGTCTGATTAAACCATGGGAAAGTGTTTCTTTTACTCAGTTTTCAATTTGACCCTACTCAAGTTCTTTGGATACCCCCAGTAAACCTGTAACATGGATTCTGGATACAGCCCATGCCCAAGGTTCCATCACATCTGAAAGGTATAACCAACTACCTGCCCTTGCAGCTAAAGTTCAGAGGTATTTTGCAGCTCTGGTCCCCCACCTAGTGAGAGGTAGTTAGCCATATTAGTTCAAAGTCAGGAAAAAGGCAGCGTAGATTTGCACCCTCTAAACTAACTCTGGGATATCAAATTCATTCAACCCCTGGACCGGATGAGTGGCACGGAGCCAGTCTGCAGGGCTGAGCTGGTGCAGGCACCGCATGCAGTGCATGCCTTGGACCATCTGAGCATGCTGCTTGCGGGGCACTTGCCAGCTCTAGCTCTATGCACTGTGCGTAGCACATGCCTGCTCCAGCCATGTGTGGGGTACATGGCATGTGGCACTGGTCTGGGGCACACACTGCACGTGGTTCCCATGCTGGCCCTGACATGCAGAGCCAGTCCATGGGCCCAATCCAGGCCAGCCCTGGATCCCTGCTGTGTGCAGCATACACCAGCTCCAGCTCAGAGAAGCACGCAGCACACAGGGCCAGTCTAGGGCACGCCCTGGATCCAGCATGGGCACTCCCAACCCAGAAAAGCACTGGCTCCGACACACAAATCTGGTTTGACATGGGCACTGTATGCAGCGTGTCACAGACAGGCTCTGCTTGCCACATGAGCCAGTTTCAATACGTTCTGCACTGCAGCCAGCAGCACTGTGGGCTAGATCTTTGATACCCATGGACTAACGAAATCAGAGAGAGAGATATATGTAAGCTTTGGTGAGCCCAAGCTCACTTCACCCGTTGCTTATCTGTTCCGTAGTACACAACAGCACACTGACTACAACTGTTGATTTGGATAGCTTAGAAGTGCTGAATGGCTGCAGGGGTCTGCTATTTATGATGGGTTAGCATGGTCACAACCCCTACTTAGGCTTGGCACAAAGGTCTGCATCTCCCTCAAGAGAACAAAACCCTTTGCATAACTTAAATTAGCAGAGACACCTTTTAAAGCCAAAGATCCCATAGTACTGGAAAATTCAGGCTTCCAGCTCTATTACATGATGCAAAGTAATACAGTTAAGGCAGTCAGAGCAGATAGGATTTGTTCTTCTCCAAGAACAAATCCTATGGAATCCCCAACCTCATAAGCCATCTTCAGGAGGTTCTTTAGGAACAGGGCAGAGAAGGCAGGGAGGACAACTTTGCAAGCAGGGCCCTAATTCAAATAAATGAGGAGGTCTATGGCTCGTTTCAGACACTTCTTGTTCCTAAGGCACTGTGTGATAAATCCTTAGAGATTGGCTTATTTGAGAGGGAGAGGGCAGAGGAACACCTGGGATACAAGTGGACAAGTGCAGAGATCTTTGCAGAGTGCTGGGGTGGAGGACAGAAGAGCTCTTCTTCCAGAACCACCAAGGTAGAGCTACTAGACAAGACATGCTCTCTTCTATCCCCTCCCCAACTCCACGTCTAGCCACCATTTCTATAGCTGACCCCTTAGAAGTAACTTATGCAACCAAGTGGGTCACTCTCGCACAGTCAGAAAAGGAAGCAAACACAATGCATATAGTTAGAAAGATAGGAGTTGCCGTAGTTTCTAGAATAAACAGGGTACTGAGAAACTCTTCTTTGCTTCCCAAGGTGTCCAAAAACAAAAATCTAATCTCTCCCCTAGGCCTACATGTGCATTTTCTTCCCACCTATAACATTTGGAAAACTTTTTACCAATGCAATAACACAAAATTAAGTAGGCCTCAACATTGATATGCATCTAGCTCAGAAGTGACACAAACACCCTTAACAGCCTTCAAAACAGCCTGAGAACCAAGGTCCTGACCCTGTTCTAAGGATTCCAATGGCAAAACATCCATGGACTTCCAATTTAAGTAGAAACTGGGCCTCAAGGTTTGCATTCTGTGACCTACATGAAATACACTATCTGATTTCTACTGTTCTCAACAAACTTCACCAAAGAAAGGAGAGTTATGAGTACTTCTTGATCTATCAGTAAGATCCATCAGTAATTCTTGATCAATCAGTATCTATGAGTAATTCTTTTCATCTCATCACAGCCTGATAGGGAGTATTTAAGTAATTATCGTTGAACACTTAAAATAATTAAAGTCTTCTCACTCTCTTGACTGATCGTGCTACTAAAGCTAGTACGTAAATATTACTCCCAAAGCCACATTACATTCACAAAGCAGGTGCTTACCCAAGGAGGAAAAACAATGTTGTGATCAGTCATAAAAACTAGTCCCCAGTTTGCCAAACACAACAGAAGTCTATTTACTTTCTGGTTCCAGTCTCTCTTTCTTCTCCCAAAATTTGGGGCTAGAAAGAAACAGCTTTAAATCACTTCAAACTTTCACCCCTGATAAACTAAGGCAGTTTTTTCTTTAAGCAAACATGATGTTTAACATCACTTTCAAAACTCAGTTTTTATCTTGGACTTGGCTTTTCATGCCTGAAATTGAAAGTCTCAAGTACACCCTTAAAAGTAAAAAGGAAGTTCTCTCTGAGCAAGGTGGAGAAAAAAGAGACATTATGCCTTTGAACTAATTATGCTTTCTGTGCCATGTGCTGAATAAAAGTAACTGATTAGGCAGAAGCCATACAGCAAGGATGCCAATCAGATACTTTCATGAAGTAGAAAGGCATCATCAAAATCAAAGGATGAATTACTAGTTTTACTAGGAGTTAATAAGAACTGCAAACCCTTCCAAAGAAAAGTGTTCTCTCTCAGTCACCCAAATTATTTCATTTGGTACCTAGGTAACACAACAGTGTTTACATAATTTGAACACTAAAGGACTAGACAGGTTTAACTTATTTAGTGTAGTTGTGAAGCTTTTCTGTATTGTAGACGAATTATTACATGCCTAAAACTCTATTGTGCTTAGAGAAAATACCAACTACTTCAGTAAAATCTTAAAATGAAGAGTATCAAGGCCTTTTTTGCTCTATCATGCAGCAGATGTGCCTACAGGCACAATGAGGTAACATGATCGGCACCTACAGCAGGTTGGAATTACACACCCTATATGAAGATACCATTTGACTTCAGCCAACAAGGTAACAAGAAGGGAGCAAGTCTGATGAATGAACTGGAAGTACTGATGAAAGATCTATCCCCATTTCAGACAGCCAGGACTGAACACTGGGATTTCCATTCACTGAACAGTCTACCTTTGCTAAAGACCCTTTGGAACAGCAGCTGTTAGTTACCAAGCAGTTGGTCTGCTTAGTCTACACACACTGTTTGCTTTCAATGATCTCAGCTGTCCAAATGACTGAGGCAGCTCTTATTGGCTGAACTACAAAAAAATAAAGTGCATAAATCAAACAAACATTCATGATCATGTTCTTAACAAATGGCTAGCATAATGATCCATGGAAAAATAAGCAGCTGACGGGTGAGAGAGGGAACACAGCCTAAGGGGAACAGTTCATCCTGAGGATGCTGCTAACAAACTAGCCCACACTATAGCTTGATAACAGAGAATCAAGGGTACCAACTCTCGAGTACCTAAGCATGCACAAGCTAATTCCCTTCTTTACTAAGGTCCTATTTTAGACTGCTCCCAAGTGCATGTGTGGTCCTCCACAAGGTCAGATATTCAGCAGTTGCTATAGACAGCAGCACTGAGATTTATTGTCATATACTGGCTGTTTGTGGAAGGTGAAAGGTCTATCTATGTGTTTGTTTAGAAAAAAAAACCTGAGGTGGATGGAATGCAGAAGGGCCTTTCTCAGTTGCACTGGGCCTGTGGGAGGGGCCCACACCAGACTGCTGCCATGCTGGGGTTGAAGGGACCACTGCCTATGCCACAGGGCAAGGCAGGGCCTCCATCTGAAATGCATCAATGCCTGTCACTGCCCCTCCTTGCAGAGCCCCTGCTGCAGTAAGGCAGCTGCATTTTACATCAGTTTTTTCCTGAACTGGGCTTATGCCCCCCCTTCCCCCACCCTGCAAAAAGGAAATCAGCTGCCCTCTTCTGCCTTCACTCTTAAGACTAATGAGCAGGCTGCTGCTTCTTTAAAACAGCAATAGTTCTGCCCTTCGCTTAATCCTGCAGCTAGATAAACCTGGTGCCCACCCGAGTGATTTGGCATAGGCTGCTCAACTGTATGCCTGCCTCTGACCTACCCACCAACCGAGAGTACTTAAGACAGTGGTTCTCAACAGTTTTACACTTGAGACATCTATCTCTCTTTGGACTCAAGGCCCCCCTTGGAAAATGCCAGCTCTTAGGTTTTCACTCATTTCATTTTTTGACTACCGAAAAATAGAGCAATTTTTCTGTTTCCAGGAGCTCAAAAAGACCCCACAGCAGGTCAGAATGGTTTTAATACCAATAATTCCTAGTTGAAGTCTCTAGGTTTATCTTGTGAATCATGTTTGCACACCTAATGGTGCTAAGTGTGTGGCACCCCATGACACCCCTGAAAGCATCTCAAGGCACTCCAGGGTGCCATGGCACCTTGGATGAGAATCACTGACTTAAGTAGACAGAGCATATTAAAAGAAGGGCCTGAGAATCCACAGTACTTTCCTGAATGCTGAGTATGGCATAACTAGGGAATGACTGCACCTTTTATGAAATTAAGTCTTCGCTTTCCCCCTGTCTACAGAGGGCAATGTATCTGCACAGAAGGACATTACCTAAAGGGCTTTTCAAGACAGACTGGCTGGAAATATCCCAAAATTATGCAAAAAAATCATTCAGCATCTGCAGACAGAGGCACCGAAGTGCAACTGCAAGAGCATCCTTAAACAGGAATGTTCTTAAATAATCATCAAATACATATTCAAAATCTTAAAAGATTTACCAAATAAAGATATTTTAAAGTGTATCTGTTGAAACCTTATTTTGATCCTCATTTTCCCTGTTGCCATGACTGGCACAGAGGGTGACCATTAATGCCACTGTTAACCACTGCAAGGTACCAGCGGTATTGAAAGGAGCTGCAGTCCATACAATGTGTTATGGGTTAGCAATGGTCTCAGGGGTTCACCGACTCAAAGCAAGCATAGATGTGGCTGACTTTCCTGTGTGTCCAAGTCTTTTTGGGATGTGTTAGCCTGGGCTCTAACAGTTTTGCACTTGCCTAACACAATCACTCCTTTTTCCCCAAGTTAGAGATAAACTATTGCAAATGATCTAAGTTTTAGCTGTTTACATGTCTCCCCAGTCAGGAAGATCTAGTATCTAACTCCCTAGTCATCCTGCTTTCCTCTTCCCATGGGAAATTTTTCAACTGACCCACAAGGATTTATTCCCTCTGCAAAGTTTGGGCACAGGCCTCTTATAATGCTCACTACACAACTACCAGGCTCTTGCCTTGGGCCTAACAGTTGTGGCATGAGCATAATCATAAATGGGGACAAAGAATACGGGCTGTAGTTGGCATGCGTGGACAGGATGAACCCCCACACAGGAATTAATTGCCACCTGGCTAGTGATGGTGTGCAGCAGTGCTAAAAGGATGCAAGTATAAAGCAACTACCCAACAGGTGCTTTTCTCTTAGCAAAATGTGGTTGGCAGTTGTCTCCTGGTGGTTCCAGATACAGCTAGAGGGGGGCAGAAGGATCTCTCAGCTTCCCTTCATACCAGTGCAACAGAAACTTTAACTACCTGAATTTGACCTTTGACAATGTCCTGGCTATCATAAGAAGTCCCAGTGATCCTTGCACAAGAGTGGCTTCTGGAACATAGTACAGGGAGGGGGATCCTGGGTCATTGAGTCCATTCCTCTGCACTTGCAGGCTATCATTAAATTGATGGAATCCCTAAAATGACCCCTGTGCAGCCACAGCTACCCTCTCATTCAGGGCAAGCTGGGGTGAAGCAGGGGAGAAAGCTTTGTATCCAAGAGAAGCAGGCAGAGCCTTGCCTCAGACTTAGCCACATGATGACGGCAGTTATGGGTACCAGTCCTGGGTGGAAGCCTGCTTTGCTCACTGTTACCTGCCTGCTGTCCTTGCCCCCTCTACTCCCTCAGCTGGTGTAATATACATGAAAGAACAGGATCTTGTTGCGCAGAAGGGAGTAGGAGTTGTCAAATTTGAGCAAGTAGATGCCTTCGCCTGGATAATCATGGCTGCCTGCCTGCACGTCACGGTGGCTGTCCCTCCGATACACAGGCATGATCTCACCATAGCGGTTTCGCAGATAGCTCTTGGAGCCCCTTTCCACATCTCCAACTGGGGTGAGTCCTGAGTAGCAGAGGGGAGACAAACAAATGTCAGAAACAGCAAAGCTGAGGCATCAAAGGGCTGCAATCAAACCATGGTTACAGGACAGGGACAAAACTTCCAGCTAAAAACACTGGCTGGCACTACTATATGCAAAAGCCACCCTAAAGTCTCTGCACATATAATAGACAAGCTGTTTTCCATGCATCAAGAGGAGTCTCTCCAGGGAAATGATACACTTGGGAATGTTTTGAATTTCCCACCATCATCATCACTGCCACTTGTCTCCCTGTCCTCCTCCCCTCACAGCACTTCCTAGCTTCCCTTCATATTTACTGCTTCCTAGCAGAGTGCCCTCAGAACAGCTCTGTGCCAGAGTGAAATGAATTCTGGGTGGGAGAATGTTGGGGAAAAATCACCTGTCCTCAACTCTATTTCTCCCTAGGGGGTCTAGTTTCAGGTGTTCATGTCTCAACCTGCAATTGTGACAGCACTCCCTATGCAATTCAAGCTGTCCCACCACAAAAAAAATACAGATTCCACTCAGAGGGAGCAAAAGCTAATACTACAATGAAGAAAAATTCTGCCCTGCCCACCCCACAACATAGGAGCTGCAGCAGCATCCTAGTCTGCTATGTTAAGGAACAAAATGCTGACTTAAGAGTCTTAGACTCCAATCCTGTTATCAGTTAAAAAAACATTATGGAAAGAAATCATCATTTATTATTGCTGGAGCATCTTCCTGGGAGGGAAATACTAGCCATTTAGGCATGTTGAACTAAGAAGAGCTAACCTTGTCTCACCATAACTTAATTTAAAACATTTCAAAGGCACTATGCAGGGTTAATAACTAAAATGGAAGGAAATTACAGCACCTGATAAAAGACATGGATACCACAGCAATGAGCACAACAAAATAATCATTTAAGTTCTGCACTGACCTTCAATCTCCTCCTCTTCCTCGTCATCTTCTTCGTCACTTGATTCACTGACCTGCACAGTAATGGCAGTGCTGGTGACAGGAGTCCAGTCAAAATAGACCCCGAAGCCAATATCATAGTCATCTGTTGCAAACTCCCAGCAGACACGCTTCCCATCAGGGTGGGTTGGCACCCGGACCGTCACCACCTCACCCCGTTTCACCACCATCCGACCATTCTTCTCCTTTCCCATTTTGGTCTTGAATTCCTTCATCTTGCAAGTGGTCCAAGTGGAGGCTGGAGCCAGAGGTGGCGGCTGAGCTGAAAAATACAAGGCCATCAGTTGTTGTTGGTCAGAAAACTACCAGTATGAATCAGGAACAAGAGGGCAATTCCTGCTAAAGCTCTTGTTTTCACGCTTAGGACAGCACAGAAAAAAAAAAAAGTCAGTGGAAGACCTAGGGCTATCCTACTTTAACCATCAGGTTAACCCCCAGCAAGAGCTCACACAGTCTTAAAGAGCATCCATCTACCCCAAAGAGGGCCATCACTGTTTCTAACCTGGCTCCACTATGAGGCACATAAACACATCCCATCCCATGCAAGGCAAGTACTTCCATCCCAGCCCTCACCTTTCCTCTGCTCACCGAGGAGGTCTGCAGTCTCCAGCTCTGCGGAGAGGATATCCACTGCACCTGTGTGTTCTGACTGTATCATAACAATATCACCTGGTCCTTGAGGCACACGGTAGTTGGTCATCTGCACTATGGCTTCCTGTGCAGAGGACATAAGAAAATTCCTCAGTAAGCACATCACACTATGGCTCCTATGCCACCCCCACCACACACACACATGCTGCATTTAAAAAGACTAGCTACAGATGCAAGGAAAAGAAATAATTTCCCTCAACTCAAAAAGATAACCCTCTAGATTTCTGCTAGAAGCACATGATTTAGTGAATAACTGACTGGCCCTACCTTAAAGCAACTTGCTTTGCACGGTTTCCCCAAAGTTGTGTAACTGCCATCAAATGCTGTACTGTCCTCCAGTCTTCCTAGCAGTAAGCACTTTCCCAGACCAATAACTCTGTCAATATTCCTTCAGTGTTTGTGTCTATTACTGGTTTACATGTTAATATTTCCAGATTTCACTGTCTGGTCTCTCAGAACATATTCTGAGGTGCCTCACAGAACCCAGCCAGTGACTACAACCACAGTGGTGCACTGACACTCAATATGAGCTTGTTAGAACCGTTGCCCAGTCCCCGATTCTCCCTCCTCTCTCTCACAAGTAGAGCTCTTAGAACAATTGTTTTCACTGCACAGTGCTTCTCTCAAGTTGCATTTGAAATACTGATAACTTGTCTGTCTTCTTCCAGTGAGCTGACAGCACTGCTTTTTCACATCCCTCTTAAGATTCTAATAAATGTTAAAGTTAATTTAAAATGGAAGGGAATTCCCTGCAGCATCAGTCAAAAGCCGGTAGTTTAAAATAGCCTTGAAGCTATAGGAAAAAAAGTAAGATCTGAAAGAGTATGGGAGCTACTCCAAGACACAAGGGGAGAGAGAGAGATGGATTGTAAAGGTTAGATTGCTGCTCTGTACATTGTGGGGGAGGTAAGAGAAGGCACAACTAAACCTCTGTGTAAGCACTACTTTCAACTCAATCCAACCTCTACAGCAGTGGTTCTCAACCAGGATGCCATGAGAACTTCCCAGGAGTGCTGCAACGCAGGTACCATGCCCTCAGCAAAGTGAAACTTTCCCCACATGTCTTGGTTTTCAGGAGGCATATCAGAGCTAAACTGGGGAGTGGCTCAAGCAAAAGTGTTTCTCCCTGCATTATTTAATGCAGACAGAAGTGCCTTGTCCTGTCCTGGCTGCTTCCCAGTTTGGCTCCATATAGGAAAATTTCACCTGACCAAACACTAATGACATCCTGGAGATACATACTGCTGGTGCCGCACTAGGTGAAGCTTCCAGGAGGCACAATCTGGGCCAAACCAGGAGGTGGCTGCAACAGAAGTGGGTACTCCTGCCTCCAGTGGGTTCATCTAATAACACTAATGCAGTCAACAGTGTCTGCTCCTGCCACAGCTTGTCCTAGTCTGGTCCTATATGGGCCTCTTGGAAACAGAGGTCTGTGGGACAGTCCCACTTGGCAGCAGCGCTGGCAGCAGAAGCACCTATCTCCAGGCAGCTATGCCACCTTTGCCACCAGGTGGAACTGTCCCACTGTGCCCTCATTTCCATAAAGTGCACATGGGGCTGGACCAGAAAAGGCTGTGGCAAGAGAGAGTACTTTTGGCTAATTAAGGTTATCCCCAGGCTGTTTTCCTAAGTTTTCTAAGTATGCCTGGGTTCCATCCCACTCCAGAGCAGCTGATGCTGGCTCAGTCCCCAAAACAGCCTATTTCTCAAGAACCCTGTGGGACCCCTGGGGTCAAATCTACAAGACACGAGGCAGGTTGGGTAAAGATGTTCATTGTCCTCTCTACTTACAGCATGCTGGGGGAGGAGCTGTCTCTCGGTGACTGCAGCTGACGTAACGAGCAAGTTTGTTATAAAAAAGCAAAAAGTAATGAAAGTGTAACAGAGAATGAATCTGTATTCAGAGAGAGAGGAACTTGAGGGAAGCACACGTCTGAGTAGTGATTTTAAGAAGAACCTGAAAGCAGGTTAGCTGAGATAGCACAGTGAAAGCTGTCTTTCACAGTGAAATGGGCTTTACTAGGTATGGAGATGAGCATTACCCAAACCTGAATGCACCGTCTGCAGTGAAAAATGATCTAAAATCAAGCTATGGACCTAAATAAAGTTGAAATGCCATTTCTCTACAAAGCGTGGACACCAAAAAATACGAGCTAGGAATACTTTTAAAATACTTAAATTCAAGAAAAAGTCCTTAGACTTTGTAAAAGAAAGAAAACTTTCTGACAAGGCACAAAAGGCTAGTTACAAAGTTCAGGGATCGATTGCTAAATAAATGAAAGCTCTTACAATAGGTGAAACACTGATCCCTCTGGTGTGCAAAGAAATAGTAAGAATTATGTCTGGTAGTGAAGCTGAAAAAGAAATAGAAGTAAAATCCCACTGCCCAATAATGATGTGTCAGAGGATACTGAAAAAAAAAAAAAATGGAATACCTTCACTCTCTAGGTGGATGAATCAACAGATTAAAGTGAAAAATGCTAGCATCTAGCTTTCATTTGTTTTGTTGATGGAAAAACAACAGAACAATTCTTCTATTGCAAAGAACTCAGGTGAGACTACAAGAGGATGTTTTTGACACAATGGATTCTCACTTGAAATCTTTGGATTTATCTTGGGAAGCACGTGTAGGTGTTTACACAGATGGTGCTACCACTATAGTTGGGTCGCTAGGAGAACGTTTCAACTGTGAAGAAACAGAATCCAAAAGTTATTACATCTGACTGTTTCTTTCACTGAGAACCTCTTGTTGCAACAACCATATTCTACAAATTAAAAAGTGTGCTCGACCAAGTTGTAAGAGTGATTTGTGTTAAAAGTAGGCCAAAGTTTCTTCTTTGTTTCAAGACTGCATGAGACAATGAAACCTGAACATGTCAGTCACATGTTACACACAGAAGTAAGGTGGTTATCTAGGGGCAAGGTTTCGTCTTGAGTTTACAAGCTAAAGGAGGAAATGTTAACATGTTTTAAACCCAAGTACTTACCAGACTCCTACAATTTGCTGAGCAATGATAACTGGTGCTCTAAACTAGAGTATCTTGTTGACATATTACTGCATTTGAATAAAGCATATACCAGCATGCAGGGCCCAAATCAGAATATTTTAATCTGTTCTGATAAATTTTGTGCCCTGCTAGATAAGATTCAGAACTGACATGCAGGAGTTAATGTTAGAGAACCAGAAATGTTCCCTCTAACAGCTGCAACAAATAATGTAGAAGTGCTGCCGCTGACATCAGAACACTTGAAATTGCTAGAAAGAGAGATTAAACAAAATACTTCCCGGATGCAGATGTTGCAGAGTACGACTGGGTGAAAAACCCATTTACCGAAGCTTCAAGAATCAGGGGATTCAGTCCACCTTCAGGAAGAAGAACTCGGCAATATACATAATGATCAGACCCTAAAACTGCAGCATGATGAAGGTACCTTTGGATAACTTCTGGGCTCAGCTAACCGACCAATATTCCAACGTTTCAAAAAAAGCCGTATGAATCTTGCTGCAATTTTCAACATCGTATTTATGTGAGTTGGGGTTCTCTGCTTTAACAAACACAGAAAAAAAGAAGAGAGAAAGACTTCTTTCAGAAGAAGAGGAAGTGAGAGTATGCCAGTCTTCAATTTGGCCAAGAATTCAAGGTATCTGCAAGAACTGCCAGGCTCAGTTATATCACTAAGTATCATATTATGTTTTTTCCTGTTAGCCTAAAAAGGATGTTTCCAGTCATATTATTTTTATGCCCTGTAACATATAACTTTGTGTTTGAAATTGGGTTCCACTAAATTCAAAAAAGTTATGGAAGACTGTCCCAAGTCTAAAAAATTTGAGAACCACTGCTGGACAGGCTCAGCACCAGAGGGAAGGAAGTACTACAACATGTTAGCCTCTGCTTTTAGAGATAAGAAGTAATGACCTACCTCCTTAAGGGGCTGTATCTGGTCAGCAAGCGTCTCACCAGGTCTGGCCACATCCTGGTCCTCTGATGCATTATCCTCTTTTCTGGAATTCTCTACAGAGCCTGTATTTATCGGTAATCCAATCTGCGGCCTCTCAGAGAAAAAGAGCACGTCAATTCAGGATGCTTGAAGATAATGGTACAGTCACTCAGCTAACTAAAGCCATGGTACAAACCAGCGCACTCAGAGGCTGGAATTCAAACAAATCAAGGATATTGGGCTTCCCATAGTCAATAGTCACTACTGGCTCTCACTCATGTTCTGCTCCCATCTGCAGAAGGCTTCATCCTCTTAGCTCCATCCAAGCCACAGTGAGCAGTTCTGCTGAGATCACTCCCAATGTAATGTCCCTTAGGTAGCCGTAATTTACTCCAGCTGATCCCAGGTATACTCCCTCCCAGCTGGCTACCTTGCTAATGCTGCGCTAAGAGCAGGCAGCAATATCTTCTCTAGAGCCAGAGGTCAGTTTTTCTAAGCCAAACCCTGGATGGCATCTACACACTGCATCACATGTGCCCTCCGTGCCAAAGTTTTGGAGAGACCAGTTTAAGGACATTTAAGTGTGCCTTCCTGTCAGAATTCCCCCCCCCCTAAAACCAAGAGCTGGTAATAGAGTGTCCACTTCTTGTTACAGAAAATGTCAAATATGGCAAGCCAGCAGCCATGTAGTGACAAGACTAAAACACATACGTAGAACAAGGACCTATCCACAAGAGAGATATGGGAATGGAAAGTGGGACCCCAGGAAAGCTGCAACAAGAGTAAAAGAATCAGACCTAAAAAGCAAAAGCCTTTTTGCCTTCATGTTCCTTATGCCCTATTCTTCCCACCATACTGAAATTCCCTTTAAGTCATAAGCATGTTCATTGTACTTCAGTCTATCTCTGGACAGGCATTCACCACAACTGAGATTAAAACAACTGTAAAACAAATGAGATTAAAACAACTGTCAGAGAGAGAACAACTAGCGGTCAGAACTAAATGCAATTTTCACAGAAAGTGATTTAACATGTACTGTAATCTGAGCAGAAATGGCCACTCGAAAAAGCAAACCCTTGTCTTCATCAATGAAAGCCCATGGCCAACCAGGTTGGTCTAATATACATGATTGACCCAATGTGAAGAGGCATGAAAAATCACTAGTAGTGAAAAGAAAACTGAACATGTAAGAAATGCATTTCAAGAACGACATATTTTGAATAACAGAGGGTCAAACTGTTCCAAATTAAATGGACAGTGTCTACATGCCTTCTTTGCTTGTCTGCAAATAGAGAGAAAACAAGATCAAGACAAACATGACTTTTCCGGAACTTCTTTAGGTACAGCCTTGAACACTGAAATCAGAAGATCCAAGATTTCAGCAAAATCCTCCTAGCTCCATTTCTATCATTAGAAACAGCATACCCCAATCTCATCTTCCAGTAATTGCTGGTTCAAATGGGTTGAATGTCAGAACACACATGTATGTGTTGTTAGGTTGGTTGGTAGGTAAAGGAAAAGTTAAAAAGGAATAGTTTAAAAACTGTCCCTTATAGCACTCTGTTTATGACCCCCCTCCTTGGAAGCCCAAAGCAGAAAACCGATTCCACAGACTATCACTTTCCACTGGGTTTTTGTTTCTTGGGCAACAGTTGTGTAGCACAGACCCAGATGGGCCATTGGCATGCAGCTCCCCCAGTATTTCTAGAGTCAGATTCAAAGGGCTTCCCATGAATACTGAGGCTAACTGAATTAAAAAAAAAACTCAGCAGTGAAACTTTAGGGTTCTGTGGAAAGTGTTAAAGCAGTTGCACAAACTTTGCAAGCCAACTTAGAAGAAGAAAGTCAGTTGGACTCCCTTGTCATGCCTCCTTTTCATAATTTGCCACCTCTTTCAAAAAAGCAAAAAAATGTATAACCCAAGCAGGTTTATCAGGAATCATCCATGCAGGTTTCATGTTACACTGGGATTCTACTCATTGTCCGATTTGTTTTTCTGAAGAAGTTAAATTGCAAAATTACCTAGAGTTCGTGATAAAAATCAGAGATTAAGGAAAAACCCTGTCTGGCTGTTGCAAATTTCATTTGCATCAAAGCCAGCATTACCTCAAACTACACAGGGTTTGTGAAGGTTACTTTTAGAAAAAGATGACTAATGACTAGCAAGATCCACGGCTGCACTGACTTAACTCATACATTTGTAAAACCTTTGTGTACGTCGGAGGGATCACATGAAACCTTTAATACTGGTTAGAAAAAGCGTATTGTGTGCATCTCTAATGACCACAAGCAACCCAACAAGCTAGGACAGCCCACTAGCAAACCAATAACAACAAACCAAATATTAGACAATGCATGCACAAATACTACTAAAAAAAGCCCATCAGCAAAGAAGCAGGTATCCTGTACAGTTTCCATGGAAATTGCATACAGTGAGAATTTTTTTGGTTTAATAATTGAAACATCCCTCTGCTAAGAGTTTGATTTTCTGTTGACAGTTTGCTCTTTGATTCAAACAGCCTGAGTTATGTTATGGTACGGACTTCACCATTTTCTGAGCACTAAAATAACCTTGAGCCAAGAGCAAGTGCTCCTTTAGTGTTGTCTCTACTGCAGTGGGGGCCAAACTTTCTGGCAGGTCCCCATGGGTCACTCTGATCCCCTTCCTCTGCTCCCTGCCTAATTTCCTACTCTGCTTTTCACTTACCACCCTGTGCCCCCTGCCTGATCTCCTGCTCTGTACCTTTTGCTCCCTGCCCCATCTGCTGTTGTGCTGCTCCCTGATCTGCTGCATGCCACACAAGGGCTGCCCATGCCACTTGTGGCACTCTTGGTACAGGCTGACCACCCTTACTCTGCTGCATCCAGCATACCAAACCCAAGAGCAGAAAGTTCAAGTTTCCAACCCCTTCTCTCCCCCTCAAGGAACAGCTGCCTGCAAGAGACAGACTGCCCGCCACTTCCCTGGTGTTGTGACATACGATGGATGCCCTCACACAGCGATCTTTTCCTACCTGCACGGCAAAGCCTTGGACTCCAACGAGGCAATTGCAGGTTCAGGATTTTGGGCTGACGACTCATTCTCTAGCAATGGACAGAAAACAGGAGAGTATGAAATAGCCTTTACTTTGAAAATACCAGACAGAAGGGCAAAGCTATAGCCAGTGCTCTTAAAATGGGGGAAAAGATTAAACTTTTCTGGCACAAGATACAGGGATCAAAACAATTTTTTTTTCAGCTGCTGCCCATACCCGTCTCAGAAATACTGACCAAAGCCAAAGCTCAGCAATTAAATCTGAGTTGGCAGTGCCCTGGGAAAACCCACCCTGCACCAGCTGAGAACATGACACGGACCAGATGGACCTGGAGGGTCCTTTCTAACATCTGACTAAGGCTCCAGGTCTCATCCCCATCCCCCTCTAAAACACAGGGCAAGCTCCATTACCACAGGACTGTGGAGCACATGCCAGAGTCTTACTGATGTGATGATGTTATCTAGCAAGCAAAGTGGGTGCGAACAGGTCCCAGAGCTCCCAGCTCCAAGGTGCACATGGCAGCAGGGATTCACCTTTACTTCCTTTTAGAAAAGGAGCTGGCGGTAGTTGTGGTTGCAGGAGACTGGACTGGAAGGCCCAAGTGAGTGCAGTGAAAAACGGACCAGCCCTGCAGACTCAAGCCCTGACCTACACACCAGTGTCACCCTGGCTGCTTTCCCTGCTAGGAATGCATCCGAGCCCTGATCAGGGGAGACCTCCTAGGCTGACTTAAATCAAACCCACCCCATCCTTTGCTGATTTCATTAGTTACCTGACCTAAGATGGTTTAGAAAAAAACAGCTCCCACATCTTCATGACTGCATGCTAGGGCCTGGATGAGCCTCGGGCACCCTGGGGGAGGGGGGGACTTCTGCTCGAGGGAGAAAGGAGCCCTCGGACCCGCACTGCAGGAGCAGGAGGACGCTCCACTCCCGAGCCGAGGGCGGGCTGAGGCCGGCCCCAGCGCAAAGGAAGCCCCCGGGGAGGCCCAAAGGCGGCCTGGCGCAGCCGGGTGTGCTGCCCCGAGTCAGGAGGCAACAGCACTGCCCG